GAGACGAGAATCTTGATTTGGGCGGATTTCCTTTTGGTTCCGGCAAAAAGTCCGATTGAGTCGAGAGTATTTTTTCTGGTCAATGTTTTTAAGAGTCTAGACTCTAGATTCGAGCGATTTTTTTCCAGTGTGAGCATCCTCATCAAAACTCTGAGATACACTCCCAACTTCACAATCCGCCGTAATTTTTTATTTATTTATTTATTTTTTAGCTTTCCGCTTCAATAATGATACTTCGGCGCAAGCGGATATTTCGTTGGAGGGGTCATCCCATCCAACCCTTGTGCCTCAAGACATTATTCAGCATGGCTGACGCCTGCGGGCGCAAATCATGAGGAAGCACCATGGTCTATATCAACGCAAGGAAAATTTAAACGTAAACACGCGGGTTGATAAAATTTGGTCTCGTCGCGCGTGTACCAGGTTTTGGCGTATTACCGTCATCCATGTTAAATATTGCGTAGCATCCTAGTGCGCAAGGATTGGATGGAGGGACCCCTCTTGGAAATGTTCACGAGTATGCCGTAGCATAGTTTTCAAAGCGGTAAGCTCAAAAAACGCATATGTCCCACGGAGATTGTGAAGTTATGATTATATATTAGACTTTTTCGATGTGCTCATCCTGATTTTTTGAGCCATTTTCTACATAAATTAACTCCTTTTTGGCTCCAGCTAAAGTCTGTAAAAGGTTTATTATGAAACAATAAGCTCTATGTGCGTTTTTTGGTTCAGAAAATGCTTCGTTTCCCGGAGTCACTAGAAAATCAATTCGTAAAAAGTAGGGACTCAAACCCGCTCTAAAGTAGTGGAAATAGCTATAAATAAAACAAAGCATGATTGGAAAACAGCTCTCAGCCGAGACGTGTCGGAGCTGTTAGGTGCTGATTGTTGCACAGCGGTACTGGATTTATGTGTGATATTTCATGAAAACGTGCATGCCTGAAGTAAAAACCAACAAAATATTAAAACATAAATTTGAAATTCCCCATGAATTCAAGACAATACAGTTCGGCACAGTTCTCCGTGCTAATAAACTGCGAATTTTTATGCTAAATGTATTACCGGGAATAATAAACTCTGCTCACCTCTTGCTGTTAATCAAAACACCAAACGTGTTGAGTCGGGGACGAGTCATCGGGGAAAAAGTCAGAAGATTCCTAAATGTGTTCGACGTTTTAATTTAAAATGTGAAGTGAAACCAATCCGCAGTAATATATTTATTTACAATACAGTGGTTATTAAAATTCATAAAAATCGCGATCTTTCCATTTCAAACTCCTTGCGCGATTTATTTTATCTCGTTCCCCTTTGTCGTAATCTTTTGCGTGCTTTCGTGGTTGCGTTTAGGACACACAACAAACACATTTTCAGGTTAGAAGTTGGCGGAAGAGGGCGGCACTTTACTTGGAAGCACTGCTTTCATTGGCTCTTTGGAGGAATATTGCCACTTACTGCTGTTTGGCCTAAATCTACGTCATTTTTTCGCACTTACGGTTTTCTCATACGTCTCGTTTTGATACAATTAAGATGAATTTTTGCTGTTTTAGCTGTCTCAATGATTTTATGTAAAAGAGATTAGACGAATTTTGAAGGAAACTCGATCTCGAAAATTTGACACTTACGCTATCACGACAGTGTTGAGGTACTCTATCTTAGAGTTCACCCTGTATAATCAACTCGCGATGTTTCATCGGCGAAGGTAGGAGTATGATTGGCGAGGGTGGGTCCAACGGTGGCGAAAATACGACCGGATGCCGAGGGAAGGGTCTCAGCACGGATCCCGGCGAAAGTGAGCGCTGAAACAGGGGACAGGGCCTCCCCGAGTCGTAAACATGGACGAATGTGCTGCGAAACAGCGGGAGCGGAGGTTTTACGGTGTCGCCACCTAGCGTGGGCCGCTCCAACCAGTGCTCTGCTACAAGGGCGCTTCCTGGTTGGCGTTGTCTCTTGCTGGTGCTGGACAGCTACACCGCGGCCTCAGGATTAACAATGTATGAGCATTTGATCATCGGCAAATTTTGGAAAGAACATTTTTGAAGAATGTAGGAAAATTATGAGAATCATTATGAATGTTTTCCCCAAAATCACTAGAAACTCTTGAATGAAGTGTCGGAAAAAATGTCTAAAAAAAATCCGAGATAAAAAATTCAGTGGAAAAAACAAGGAGGAAAAACGGGAAACAAGTCAAAAAATACACGATTAATAAAACCCGAGACCTTTGACTCAAAACTGAGTCATTTTCAGTCGGAAACAATAAAAAATCAAAAATAATCTAAAGTTGAACTTCTTTTTATCGGGCTGCATTTTGTTTGATGATATTGCCTTTCTCCCGATCACTTGTTGTCAGATTTCAGGCGATAGCTATTTTGATGTGACGTACACATCATCATCAGGCCACTTGGATTTGGTAAACACTAAAAGTCACATTGTATATTATTAAAATTTACTATTTACTAAAATTTATTAAAAACACTATTAAAACACTCTTGGGTGCACCCGTCACGGTGGATCGAGTCAATGGTACAGGTCGGTCATGGGCGATTCGGGCGAATCGCATTTTTTAAGGGTCAAAAGTGTTCCTCAAGAGTTATATTTTAAGGATCTGCCATTGATTTGGAACGAAACATGTTCATTTTTGTGACCGAAGGCATCAAAGAGGGGCTTTGCGTAACTTTTTATTTTAGCGACAAATCGTCCAAGTCTTTCTATTCCATTTAACTTGCTTCTGTTTAAATTAATGCTAATTTCATTGACACATTCTTGTTCTTCAGAGTCTGGAGAACACATTGCACTAGTAATTTTCTGTATTCGGCCCATTTTTTCAATGATTATGTTTGCGCGCAATGTGCTCATCTCTAAAAGCGAAAAAAAAAAGTTTAGGTAAACTTTTAACTACCCATCCGCCACCATCCGCCAGAAAAATTTGTATAGGCATGTTCGTGGGAGTCCTGAGAATACGATCCCGCAAAATTTGGGTGCCACTTTGCGCCACTTTGGCCGTGACGTCACTTTTTCTGTTGCGTTCCGAGATTGTGCGCGAGCCTTATCTCGAAAATCAAGCGACCGGTGAGCTGCCGCGGCACTTAGCTTGCTTCTGTTTAAATTAATGCTAGTTTCCAGAGTCTGGAGAACACATTGCACTAGTAATTTGTTGTATTCGGTCCATTTTTTCAATGATTATGTTTGCACTAATGTGCTTATATCAAAATGCAGAAAAAAAAAGTTAAGGTAAACTTTTAACTACCCATCCTCCACCATCCGCCAGAAAAATTTGTATAGGCATGTTCGTAGGAGTCCTGAGAATACGATCTCGCAAAATTTAGGTGCCACTTTGCGCCACTTTGGCCGTGACATCACTTTTTCTGTTGCATTCCGAGATTGCGCGCCAGCTTTATCTCGAAAATCAAGCGACCAGTGAAAGCTTGTAACTGCTAAATGACCCAGGTAGGTATGATTCCTGTTCATCAGAAACTGAAAAACAAGTTTCACCATCAAGACGTGCTCTTTGACCCGTTTTTCGTATTTTCATTATTTCCTAAACTACATATCTATAGGAGAACTAAAAAAAAAATCGGGCATATTTTCACTCGGACATCCCTTTATATTCCTTATAGAAAGAAATTTTGGGACGTATGCGTAGATAGCTAGCTTGAGGAAACTTTTAGCAAGTAACCCCTCCCCCCCCCTTTACTTGCCTGGCCCCTGACTATGATGCCATTTTATCTGTTGGCCTCCGCGATCGCGCGCGACCGGTCACTGGTGAACTCTGATAACTGATGCTTCTTTCAAATACGTACATATTTTTTAATTTTTCACCTATTTCGATGTAAACAAAGTGCAGTTAGTGCGAAACTAATTACACTGCGAGTACTTTTTAACGTTACAAGTCCGGGAAATTTTGGAATTTTTGCGGTTTTTTGCGTTGCTTGTTTTTTAAGTTTGATGCGGTTTGAGAGCGGAAGACGAGGATGAGAGTGATGGGGAACTGAATATGAAGAAGAAGAATAAGGAGAAGCAGATGACAGATGACTGTTACATGTTTAAATTTTTGTTTCTTTTCTTTTTTTTTTCTAGCCATCTAGTGTTTTTCCTACTCTAAGTCCCTGTTCCGTCCTCTGAATGTAAATATGAATGTAAAGTAAAAGTGATCTTGAATATTTTCAAAGAATTCATAAATGTATTTCATTTGTTTTCTCACCGATCTTTATGCATAAGAATGATATCTTATGACAAAGTTTCGAAATTAACTTTGCAGTAAAGGGAATGATTTATCTGATGCAGCAGCTCATAACTGGGGAGGTATTTTTGCGTATTTGTGACACTTATTAGTAAGTTTTCATAATTTTATTCATAATTTATCCTCTTCCATCATGAAAAATGAAAAACTCCGTCCTACGAAGTAGAACACAGACACCTAAACTTTGCACCTGTATAGTTTTCCCGACAAAATGCACAAATACGGGTCTTCAGGTACGTTGTTCACCAAAAATACCATCAAAAATGAATTCTACGCGAAAAATTACATGAATTATTTGGTACATAATCGATCAAGTGACCAGGAATATTCGTTATCCTCGTAACATTGGAAGCGCAACGCTCCATGACCGACCTCTCCCATTGACTCGATCCACCGTGCGTCGCCGCGAACGCGTCCTTATTACCGGTTTTCCGGCAACGGCCGACAGTTTTTCGACGTGAAAACTGCAATCAAACAGCAAAGTTGACAAAAAACAGTGGGAAACACTTCCACACTAATCCACCTTACAATACCGATGTACCAAAACCAAAATCAGCTCCGGCGCGCCGGAAATACGAGCCGGAGTCCGCCGTGCGCGGCGGAACGAGTATTATACCAGGACCTCGTACATCATCCATGATTAATAATTTCATCATTTCGCTTTGATGAATAGAGAATACAAACTCGTCGTAGCGTAGAATATTTGTATTTCCACAGGTAAACTCCGAAAAAAGACTAAGAAATCACGTATTTTTGTCGACAGGGACGTGCTTTTCCGGTTGACTCTGGATGATCTGACCCCGCTGGAGAGGACATCATGGAAGGCACAAACAGGAGCCGTGGACATGTGTCTCATAAAAGGCCAGAGCGAAGCTGATTGTCACAACTTTATCAAAGTACTCTTGAGCACCGGCAAAAAACTCTTCGCTTGCGGCACCAACGCTTTCCAGCCCCACTGCTCATGGAGAGAGGTATTAACTATTTGGATACTTAAATTAGCAGAGTTTATGTTGAAGTGCAAACATACTAGATTCCTTTTAACTTTTTTGGTCCTCCGTTGACGGGATGTTATGATAATTCATCTGGGAGGGAAATAAGGCTGTATTTTTATGTATAAGTATCATAAAATACACTGTTAAAAATCCCGGCGCGAAATTCACGCTTACTCAGTTGTTATTATTTTTGACCACCTGTCACTTCTGAGTGCATGGATCCGGCGCAAAATAAGCTCGACGCGAATTTCGCGCTCTGGTGGGAGTCAAAATCTGACAGGCAAACGTAAAACAGAACTGTCACAGCACGGATCGGATTCGAACTAGCACTCCAGGCCGAGTTAACAAAACAATTGCTAGCGTATCTCTTACTTTCTTACCGTTGCGTTAAAGTCTCCGAGTTTTGCTTATTGGTCGCATTGTCATGTATCAAAATGATAACAAATGAATTTCATACTCAGAGCTAACAGAATAAATTGAACACTTTCAGACGATAGGAGTATACACTGTTCTCTCAAGGGGTGATATGAGGATACTGCTATATTGTCGAAAATGGCAAAAATGTCTATGTATACTTGCGGCCTCCTTCACATACGTCATCTTTTGTTTTTTTATTTAGGAATGAATAAAAGAAATGGATTGAATTTAAAGAAATCGTTATTTTAACGTAAAATAAATAAAAAAATAAAAACAAAATTAAAAAATAAGGAAATAGATAAATAAAAAAATAAAATAAAACTAAAAATATACACTGGAAAAAAATCACATTGGATCTAGAGTCCAGACTCTTGAAAACATTGACAAGAAAAAATACTCTTGATCCAATCGGATTTTTGCTTGAATTAAAACGAAATCTATTTAAATTAAGAGGCTTGGTTCTTGATTTAAGCTAGACTCTGATTGAATCAAGAGTACTTTTTCTTGGCAATGTTTTTAAGAGTCTGAACTCTTGATCCAATGTGTTTTTTTTTTTCCAGTGTAGGAATGAATGAAAGAAATGGATCGACTTTAAAAAAACCGTTATTTTAGAGTGACATAAGTAAAAAAATAAAAACGAAATTAAGAAGTAAGGAAATAGATAAATAAAAATTAAAATAAAATAAAAATATATTAAAAAATATTAAAAAATTTAAAAAAATTTAAAAAAATAAAAAATGAATAAATAAATTGAAAAAAAAATCTACCAAAACGACGTCATTAACCCTCAATTTGTTTGCAGTTGGAAAGCCTGAACCGCGTTACGGATTGGCCGCACGGGGTGGCCAAGTGCCCGCACTCGCCGCACGCCAACATCACGGCCCTGATGACGGCCGGCGGGCAGTACTTCGTCGGGACGCCGACCAACTTCGCCGGGGCCGACTACGCCATCATCAGGGACGCCGGCGCCAACCTCCCTTACCTCAGGACCCAGCAGTACGACAATCGCTGGCTCAACGAACCCCACTTCGTAGGCTCATTCGAGACTGAGGACTTCGTCTACTTCCTCTTTCGGGAGATCGCCGTCGAGTACATGAACTGCGGCAAGGTTAGTATCAACCTCTAGGAGTTCATAGCCTACACTGGACAGGGTTTGGCAGAAAGGAATCATGCCACATCAGCCAGATTTTCCATCAATCTCTGCGAAAAAATTACGTACCTTTTTTTACTTTCAGCCTACGATACCTTAAAATTGTTGCATTCAACACATTTGGAATTTTTTTTAAATTTTAAAACTATTTCGACGCATTTTAAAAGTTCAAACTTCCTTGGGGGCTTGGGGGGCTCAAGCTCCCTCCGAAAGAAAAAAAAAAGGAGGGAAAAAAATGAAGAAAAGGGGAGACCAAAAAAAAATGCGAGAAAAGAAGAAGTTTGAACTTTTAAAATGCGTCGAAATAGTTTTAAAATCTCAAAAATTTTCCAGATGTGTTGAATGCAAAAATTTTTAGGTTAAAAAAGGCTGAAAAAATTTTCAAGGCAATTTTCAGGTTAAGAAAGGTATCGTAGGCTGAAAGTAAAAAAAGGTACGTAATTTTTTTCGCAGAAATTGATGGAAAATCTGCGTTACAGTATCCTCAGAATGCGTCCGTAACGTATTGCAAATCGATGGCTGAAATTGGAAAAATTGAAATTTTCATCGTAAAGTTTTATTTATTTTTTCTAGGAAAACCGATCCAATGATCAACTTGAAATTCCTTGCAAATACGCCCATATTTGAGTTAGCGAAATAGAATCACCAATCTTAAAGGAAAACTGTTAGTTACTTTCCAGATTTTAGGACATTGCAATGGATATGCAAATCTTTCGACTCAAAAGCCACCAATATGTTTTTGCTGTGCCTCAAGCTATGTGTCATGTCAATGACTGAAGTTAAATAATGAGTATCTCCGGTATCAAATATCCAATCGTTCAGAGTTCTCAGATACTAAATATTTCCATACACTATATTGTACACATTTTTGAATGAGGATAGAGAGTCTACAAAAAATCTCAAGAAAACTGTTGTTAGGTTCTTTTTAAAAGAGTTTCCATGGAGCTTTCCCATAAGCTTCTTAAATATTTTCCTCTAAAATTACTGACCTTCCTCTTCAATTTAAAATACGAAAGATATTAACTTCATTTTTGCAATGTTTCAGGCTATCTATTCTCGTGTCGCAAGAGTTTGTAAGAATGACCCTGGTGGTAAGACGATGTTGAAGGAAAACTGGACTACTTTTGTGAAAGCTAGACTCAACTGCTCAATCCCTGGAGAGTATCCATTCTACTATAATGAAATTCAAGGAATGACATACTTCGCAGACACAGGAATGGTCTACGCTACTTTTACCACACCCAGGTACTCTCAGCTCCTTAATTATTATTATTATTATTATTTCTTAAGCTGTAATATATGAAAAAATAGCCAAAACAAATTTTTTGGTCATAACTACTGTTTACGAAAATTAGAATAAAGTCGTAAGTGTTGCTTTTAATTTTTTTGAGGGAGCCAAGAGTCAACCTACCATCCACAGAAACCGACCGGTACTAAGCGACCACTTACGAACACATTTTTTAACTAGCCCACGCATATGTCTCTAGCTACTTCAATGCCAAGACATGTTGCGTTTTTGTAGGTCTATTAAAAATGTAGTCGGAAAACCTTTCCGAAATCTTTCACAATGCATAATACTACATTTTTGCTATAAGAGTTTAAACATGTATCAACATTATGAGAATACTAGCAATAATAAATAATTGGGCAAAATGAAATTAATCTAAGCACTAATAACGTAACTTTAGAGAGTCTCAAGGTAACTGACTCCTAACTTAAGAGATCTATCCTCATACCTAATGTATAATCTTCTTCCGTTACAGAAATAGCATTCCTGGATCGGCCATTTGCGCATTCAATTTGACTGCTATCAATGCTGCATTCAACGGTCCTTTCAAATACCAATCGTCGGTTGGATCTGCCTGGGAGAAGATACCCAACACGGGGGGTTTATTCGCTCAGTGTCAGAGGAACAAAGCTGAACAAACTGAGCAAAGTCTGAGCGATGCTCTAAAATATCGACTCATGGACTCTGCTGTGCAACCAACCACCTTGCATCCTCTGTACTCTTCGCAGCTTGAGACACTCACGCACATCGCAATGGATGTGGTTCCGACCAAATCGAATAGGTACGTTGTCTATTTCTCCTATTGCTCTCTCTCGTTATTCATTCGTTTGTATTTTACATAAATTCGTTATTTACGATAGTTATTGCTCCTCAAAAATACCGGCTGTACTTCAGCGCAACGTAGAGGTAATTTTTGTCCCTAGCTCACTTAGATTTACCTTGAAGCTAATATAAGTAGAGGGGAAATGCCGATCTACGGCCACCTGAGATAAATGGCGACTTGCGGCCACCTGAGATATCGAAATGTAACCTAACCTAATTTCAGTGTTGCCGTGTGACCTAACCCAAGTACAGCGTTGCCGTGTGACCTAACCTAACCTAACCTAACCTAACCTAACCAAACCTAACCTAACCTAACCTAAGTCCATTTCAGTCGCGGGTTGCGTGCCTCGCCGACCTAAGGTGCAGATATGCGGGTTGCATACCTTACGGACGGGAGGCGTCCTATGTTGGTCCCTCACTTCGCCGGTGCTCAACGATGATTTGCGATGTGCATTCCTCACGAATCTCCGGAAATGCGGGTTGCATACCTTACGGACGGGAGGCGTCCTATGTTGGTCGCGCACCTCGCCGGTGCTCAACGATGATTTGCGATGTGCATTCCTCACGAATCTCCGGAAATGCGGGTTGCATACCTTACATACTCCAGGCGTTAACATGCGGGTTGCATACCTTACGGAAGTAAGGCGCTTGTATATGGGTTGCATACCTTACGGCGAGAGTACGGCGTTTACCTAGCTTAACCTCTACACCCCCCTCAAATGGATGACGTCATCCCACCCGCTCTTTGATGTTCCCGCGCCGATTCAGGTGATCTTCTGTCAACTCCTCCTCCGGCCGCCGTTCAGGGTGCGACCAAGTTTAAAGTCCAGTGGCGTGGCGTGCTTTGCGATTTATCGATTGATCTGTCATTTAAACCTATGAAAAAAGATCGATTATCAGAATGCTCGCAGCGAACACCTTACTAATCGATTCTTTACCATAGCTTCAAATGGCGAGATATCGACAATCGATCATTCACGCCACGCCACCGGTTTAAACCTGCATCAGAAGCGCAGATCCGCGCTCGGATCGAACGCTGTCCGAACGAGTCTGAGCCTGCCGGGACAAGTCTGAACCTGTTCGGGTCTCTTTTCCTTCGNTTCACGAACCATTCGGTCCTTCCAAAAATTTGGATTCCATTTCTCTCTTGCGTAATGTAATCCAACAAATGTCTAAATATTAAATTCGCACCGTTTAGGAACTGCCATTTTTTTTTCCAGGGAGCACTACGTCCTTTATGTTGCAACCTTGGAAGGATTGGTGAAGAAAATATCAATCTTGCCCGGAACGCGACAAACTTGCGTGTTGGAGGTGTGGAAGCCATTCCCAAATGATGTCATCCCAAAAATCCACACTCTGCATTATTTAAAAGAAACGGTAACTTGAATTTAAAATACTTCTACTTAATTTATATTTTACTGTGTTACATTGTACTCCAACCAAAATGAATATTTATTTTCTATCAAACACTCTTTTATGTCGATCGATTCATTATGTTAGACAATAATGAATATAAAAATGCAAAATGTTGGCTATGTAGGTATCCCTATGGTGTTCGCTGAACTTAGCCTTTTAGTGTGATAAATTCATTTCCAAATTTTTGTTGAGGTAAAATTTGGCCTTCCTGAGGGGCAAGGCCAATGGTATCTTCACGTCAAAATATGTATTATATAACGAAATGTATCTTCCTAAAAATTATAATTGAACTTTTTTCTCTTCATAACTCATCAGGATTCGGTCTACATCGGGACGGAAGAAAAATTGATAAGAATCCCGGCAGAACGTTGCTCACGACATAAAACTCGAGAAGCGTGTGAGGGTGCCATGGACCCTTATTGTGGCTGGAGTGAGCACCAGGAACAGTGTCAACCACCACCAAATCGTGATCCTCTTTTCATGTACTGGTATCAAAATGCAACCATGTGTCCTGTCACCACTCATTCAGGTAGATCGCAAAAGAAACACGTTAAAAGCTCATGGATGTTCATTAATGACCAAATGGTGATTTTGAGGAGATAAGTTAATTTCAAGGAAAAACCAAAATTGTAAATTTGCTTGGTGAGCATTGAATATCCTAGACAATACTGAGTTTTTCAAACATGGCCAAATTTTTTTTTGTAAAAAAGCCATTTTCCGGGAAAATAGCAATCATTCAGGACTTTGTCACCTTCCGACCGAAATATCACATGCGTTATTCGACGTTCAAAAATTTTTGTCGCCATTTTGTATTTACAGAGAAATTATTGGTTGAATCCGTTTGAAAATTTCACTGAATCTTATTGGCAACACAAAAGAAAAATTCAATGAAATTTTCGGACAGCTTCGTTGAATAATTTCTCTGTAAAAAAAAATAAAATAGTGGCGGAAATTTCTAAACATCGCATGGCGCCTGTGCTATTTTTGCCGGAATGTGACGATTTATCGACTTTGTGCAAATTATTATATAATTGTTCGTGATTTAGATTTATCTTCTGAAGTATTTTAGAATGCCCCTCGAAAAGAATTGAGCTTTATTGCAAAATAAAAAATTGCAAAATTGCAGCAAAAATTGTGTAAGAATATAATCTGATTCATTAATTTAAATTTTGTCATACCATCATGCCTAATCATAAGGTTATGTTTTATTTTATCAGTGCCTGGTGGATGGTCATCGTGGTCCAACTGGTCAGTCTGCAGTCATATGAATACCAATAATGATTCTAGCGATTCTTGTTTGTGCTCCACAAGACGATGCGATAATCCTGCACCCCAAAACGGAGGGGCTCCTTGTGAAGGACCATCTATCCGAGTAAGTAAAATGCAGCATTTCTGAATTTAGCGAATCTGTTTGCAGTTCCATTGTTGCAGAATTTCCTTTAGATTTCTGGGTAACATTAACTTTACTAGATCCTCACTCGTGAAATTTGAAAAAAGCTCAAATGAAATATTTTTAGTACATCAAGGGATATCATCCTCTCATTCCATCTTTCAAATTTTCACAAGAAATTGACTTAATTTTACTTATCCTGTCAATCACCTCTCCATTTTCAGGTGACAAACTGCACAGTGCACGGAGAATGGACCCCATGGTCGGCTTGGTCAGCTTGCTCACAAACTTGTGGCATGGCGATAAAAACGCGACGTAGGTATTGTGGCAATCCTGCCCCTGCATTTGGAGGACGAGTTTGTGTCGGTCCAGATACACAAGAACTTTACTGTCATACAAATCCACCTTGTCCTGGTAAGTGAGAGCAAAATAATTTACACCTACAATTTACTTTAGCATTGTTTACGAATACAAACTAAGTTATTCCACAGTCCCCACGCTTCTGAACAATGAGTATCTCTTTTTTGTCGATTTACACAATTTCTGTATAAAGCACTACGATCTTTTTCAAAAAATTCAGCGCCATTCTGCTGTGCTAAGAAAGAACGCCGTAGGAGCCTACAGACATTGCAAAATTTCCATTGACAAATCACAAATTTTCAGGAAAATTGGTAAATACTATTCATCCACATTATCCAAGAATGTTATTCTTTATCTAATCTAAAATGTCCAAAAATATCAAGGAGAAAAATTCATAATTTTTTCAAGAAAACATATTTTCCGAGAGGAAATTTGGCAAAATTCGAATGCTCATGCTGCATGTTTCCTCAGCACGATAGTATTGCAGGACAATTTAACGATTTTAAAAGACACTCATAACGTTCCTTGGCTTTTAGATTTTTAAGCATCAAAGTTGATCTCTATTTTACTAATCGATACACTATAGTCTGCGCTGTGAGCATCTGACTAAAAAAACAGGGAGCGTAATTTATGGGGCAATGACCCTTGTTCATTTTTTTAAAATGAAAAACAAATCATTTAAAAAAATGCGCAGATTTTTAGGAGAAGAAGCTCTTTAAGAATCCTAAAATTTCGGAAGTAAGAAACTATTTTGTTAGATTTCATAACAATCCAAATTTGCATCGTCGTTAGTTTGTTGAAACATTATTCTTTTTTCTAGTCCCTCGGTACTCATGTGTCTATAAGTCACTTTTACAGCACAGCAGGGCGCTCTTCAACGCCTGCCCGCCACAGGCATAGAGGAAAAAAAGGAAGTGTTTGCATTTCGGGCATCTTCGAATTTTTTTGATGACGTAGATCGGCACAACGACTTTTATCATCGATTTTCTTGGAAATGGTGTAATTTATGGAAAAAAGTCATTCTATAAAAAGTGCTTGAAATTATATCATGAGTTGCTTTACGCAAAAAATGGGACATTATGGTTCGTTTTTCATACTTCGAATTCCGGATTCCGCTGGCCAGGTTGTACCGACCTACGTCACAGAGTAAACAAACACTGGGAAAAAAGCACATTGGATCTAGAGTCCAGACTCTTGAAAATATTGACAAGAAAAAAGACTCTTCATTCAATCAGATTTAAGCCTAAATCAAAAGGAAATCCACTCAAATTAAGAGGCTTGGTTCTTGATTTAAGCTTAAATCTGATTGAATCAAGAGTATTTTTTCTTGTCGATGTTTTTAAGAGTCCGGACTCTAGATCCAATGTGTTTTTTTTTTCCCAGTGAACCTCAAGATGCAAACACCTCCTTTTTTCTCTATGCGCCATAGGAATCTGCCATAGTAGAGATCCGGAAGCTTCCTTTGGCATTCATAATTTTTTTATTTTTTTCTAGTCTCTCGACACTCATTTATCTGTTAGTCACTTTTACAGCGTAGCAGGGCGCTCTTCAACGCCTTTTTTTGAGAAAAAAAAAACCATCAACAAATCAGCTGTTTCAATACTTTTTGTTTGTGTGTGTGTGTCTTCAGCGATCACACCACCAGTCCAAAACGGTGGATGGAGTAGCTGGGGCAGTTGGAGCGAATGCTCAGCCCGTTGTGGAGGCGGGTTCCGCGTGCGTCATCGACAATGCAACGATCCTCCACCTCAGAAACCCGGCGGTCTGGACTGTCCTGGCAACAGCGAGGAATACGAAGAGTGCAACACGATGCCCTGCCAGGAACTCAAACGCTCATCGTGGACCCAGTGGATGCCGGTCGGGAATCGCTCTGAAAAACGATTTAGGTACAAATGTCGGGCGCCTGTGTCGGATCCTACTTTCATCAAAATAATCCTCGACAAAGAGGAAGAGAGGCTGTGCGACGGAGGAGCCTGTCACAGAACAAGTAAGTGTCTTCTTCAAAGTTCAAAGTTGTATACGATACAACTATTCGTACACGATGGATGTCCGTGTTGCATATACGAAAAGTTGAAGGCGTTTTGCGGCTCGATTTGGTGCTCCGCTGTTATAGCGCCTTGATGCCACTATTCGTACTAAGTGAATGACCACGCTGCATATACAAGAAATTGAAGGCGACTAGTGACATGTAAGATGAGAAAAGAATAAAGTAACGATGGGTCTGTCGAAACAACCACCTGAATATACATTTTCCGGGTGAATTTGCTCGAAAATCACTTCGGTCACATCAAAAAAATGTGAAATCCACTTCTTAGCGCGCAGTCTGCGTAGTATGTAGCACACTTTTTTTTTTAAATTTACCACATATGCGGGCAGTTTTTTACGGTGACCGGCAGTCAGGATTGCTTGAAAAGGGACTTAAAGGGACTTACAATTGGATTACATTTTGCAATAAGGAACCACTATTTCTGGCCCATTTTAGAAACAACATACATGCCATTGGTTTCCCTATGCGGATACGTGCTTTTATGGGAGAGCCAGAAATAGTGGTTCCTTATTGCAAAAATTGCTAATATATCACCGTGTGCTAATTTAAAAGTAAACATGTGATTTAAAAACAATGTCCTCAGAAATAAATTAAAGGCCTTGTCCACACGAACGCGGTTCGCGGAACTCAGTTCGAGGAACTTGTTCCTGGAACAAGTTTTTTGCTGAGCTGAAACTTATTCCTCCAAAACCTGGAATTTTCCCCGTGCTCTGAGCTTCTAAATATGTTTCTTTTGATGTGAATTTGCTTGTTTTTGTTTTTCACGTCCTTTACATATGATCTTGACATTTATTTTTGTTACTTTGGCGGTCATAATAATCTATTATTTTGCAATAATTGTATAGTTTTATTGAAGTTCCGGTTCCAGTTCGGACGAACCCGTGTGGACAGCATGCCTCGTTTCAAGGAATAAGTTCCGGGAACTGAGCAAGTTCGAGGAATAAGTTCCGCGATGTGTGGACAAGGCCAAAGGAAAGTGAACAACTTTGGCTGTTTCTGTTTCTACTGTTTCTACCTTTATACGATGTTGGCTCATCTATTTCTAGATCCTCGAGATCGTGGAGAAATGGAAGAAGAGTGGTCCGAATGGTCCAACTGGTCAGAATGCTCCGCCGAGTGCGGGGGTGGAACTCAATTTAGAACAAGGAGCTGTGAAGGTCGTGACTGTCCCGGATCACCGCAAATGTCTCGGACATGTAACACCCAGCCATGTAAAGGTTTGTTGAAAATTATGAGCAAATTACTTGAATTGGGCTGAGTTAAGCAGAAAGGATCCAACCCACATTTTGGAGAAAATTGAGTTGTGAAAGGTTTTGAAACCAACCACTGCTCTACTATCTATCGCCAAAAATTCAAAGTTTTTGTTGGAGTAAATTTTGCAGAAAATGGACTTGAAATTTAACTTTTACATTGAGTCTTATACAGGAGCTAAACTTTAAGCCTCTTTTCCTCGGTTCGATCCCGATGTGGCTTGGTTCCTTTCTGTTTAACTCCGTCCAATTAATCATGATTTTTCTCAAGATAACTCCGCCTCTCCATTAATATTACTACAAGTAGTTCATTTTTAAGATAAGCACAACTTCCGCCTTCAGGAGCGTCATCTTTTTTACCGGCAAATAGAAGGGGAGAATCAACAATTCTCGAGAGCAGGTGAACTTTGCAAGGGAGGGGGGGGGCAAAATTACCGAAAATCGCCAAAATATCAAAAATCCTTCTTCAAAATTGACCGAAATTTATTCTCTTGAGGGGGTCAGCTTTCTAACGTAGTAAGGAAGGGGCAATTCCTGTTCCTTCCCTATCCTGCCATCAGAGGACATCTACCTCCATAAAATTTTAGCTCGATGACATCCTAGATCAACAGACCTCACTTGGCCCAAATCCCCGAAAACTTGAAGCATGGATGTGCACTAACTGTAGCCCGATGCTCATTCAAAGTTGTAGAATCCTCAAATGGATTGTAAACCTCTAATAATTTGAAAGAAAACAAAATTGGATCATCCATTTCTATTTTTTCTTACTTGTGGAGAAACGGACGAGAGGCGGTACGCCAAGGAAAAACTCTGTTCTTGTTATCTAATTGAATTATCAGAGATTCCCTTTTTGACGCTTCTTATTTTACTTTTTTTTTAAATTTAAAGCCGGCCTCAATACATGTGTAAATTTAAAAAGGTATTGTAGGTATCCTCTATCAAAATTCTAGTGAGATATCTTTTCCGTAGGTTTTTTTACTGTTTTTTTTTTCGCTCTTGTTGGACGAGAATTTTCAAACACTGATGTATCCACACCACATGTAGATTTCGTTTTGCAAAAAGGAACCAAGAGCATTGCAATGTCGCTAAGATTGTGCAGCTTATCCTTTTCAATAAAAGTACTTGAATCATGCAAAAATATGAAATTTACATGGTTATTTTTGTCTTAAATTTACAGTTTTTAGGGTGTAAAACAAAAACTGTTTGTAGATTATCAGGTTTTTCTTCAAAGACAAAAGAAGCTGCACAATTTTAGCAACATTGCAATGCTCTTGGTTCCTTTTTGCAAAATGCAATCCATGTACTATATTTATTTTAATTTGGTCATTTGCTGATTATCTAGGTGAATGGGGTTGTTGGACTGACTGGTCAGAGTGCTCGGTCTCTTGCGGCACTGGTTTTAGGGAGCGCACAAGAGTCTGTTTGGCTGCTCACAATCGTCATGAGGAAACAACAGGATGTGAGGGCTCCGCCGCAGAGCAGCAGTCCTGTGAAATGCCGCCGTGTGACGGTACGTAGCAATTCAGGAACAGTAGTATAGTTCAAAGTTTTTTTTGAAAATTTAGAATATTAGAATTTCCTTGGAGTTTAAATTGGACTACATTTTGCAATTAGGAACTATTAATTCCGGCCCGGTTTAAAAACAACGTTTGTGCCATTAGTTTCCCTATGCAGATAAGTGTTTTTTTTTCAGATGAGCCAGAATTTATAGGTCCAAATTGCAAAATGTAGTCCAATTGCTGTTTTGATTTCTATTCTTCATGACTGTTGGGTTTGCTTCTTTACTAAAACAAATATTTTAGGCCCCGAATCATACACGAACCATAAACTGGAGAAATTTTCAAAAAAAATGAAATTCGTCTGCAAAAAGAATATCTTGAAAATGCTCGACACGGAAAATGCCTCTTTGTTAACAATACCTACAACTCGAATTCTATCCTGACTGACATACTATGCCTTCAACTATTCCCAGTAAATTTGAGGGCCGATTGATTGGAAGCCTAGTCAACCAAATAAGTAAGAGCAAAGTTTGTTGGATGAAAACAGTTAGACAGACATCCACAGTTTTCTTAAAAATATTTTCGGAATCGTCACATTTCTTTAAAATGCATACCTTTTTCTAGATATACTGTGTGGGTACATACAATTTTCAAATCTTTAATTTTCCAATTTTCTGATTCCTCAAGGTTCCACTGGTTGGAGCAGCTGGTCCACCTGGTCAACTTGCGATGAGAACGGACAACAGTTTCGGACTCGTAAATGCCTCGGTGCTCAAGATTCTACAGATTTCTGCGATGGCCGTGATACTGAAATCAGGGATTGTCCTGATTTGTCCAACGGTAAGTAATTCAATAAATTTACTATTCCACCATGCATTTTAATTTTTTACTGTCTTCTTAATTTTCAAAATTTCTGATTCCATTTTCTATTTTTATCAGATAATCACTGAATTATTCTAGCTATCGTGAGTAGATCAAATATGAAAAGAATATCGATGGTCGAAGTGCGAAATCACGTGTCTCCCATCATTGTGATGTTGCATATTACTTTTATGCTGAGGAAGAACGCCGTATAAAAGCCAAGAGACGTTCAGAAATATTCTTTGATGAAATACCATTTTTAGGGTAATTAGTGAGCATTTTTCCTTGAAAGTTTCAGAGAATTTTACATACGATCAGATCTAAATTATCTGCTTGCAAGAGAAAATATTTACAACTGTCCTTAAAAATAAAGATTTTTTTTTCGAGAAAATTTGGCAACTCTCGAATGTTTGTGCGGGGTTCTCTTTTATTTTTTCTATGGAAAACTGGTCAGCGTGATTTCTAAGAAACTGATTTGATTTTTCTTCTCTGTCAGGAGAATATATTCTGTATCAATTTCAAGCCATGTAGTTTAACTTGTTTCTCTCCAAATAAAATTAAGATACGTGGTTTCTCAATTGGCTATCAACATGAGCGATCAGTGATTGAGGGCTTTGGCTTTCCAAACAAAATGATGTGTGACTTTTCATACTTTTGTATAGTGTCGGTCTTATTCGAAAATTCTTGCGGTGCTGATACGTTTTCGGGGGCCCCTCCTCTCGGATGGGGCTCCCTCTAACTAACCGAAAGTCCTTCTTGACGAGGATTTTTCAAACTTTGGGGGTCCCTAAAAGAAACCTGCCGGGGTCCTCTGAGCCACCCGTCAGAATTTTTGGAGCACTGAAGCGCCCGAATACCCCTGGCCAGACCGCCCCTCACTAAAAAAAAAAAAAAAAAAAAAAAAAAATCTTAAATTTACCGCCAAGAAGTATTTTTTCTTAGATTAGGACCTTTGCTGCTTAATATAAACTACTTTTTGCTTAACCCAAGCATTTTTTTCCTTGTATCAAGAAAAAATCAGCTTAAATCAAGATAAAAAAAATCTCAGCGGCAAATTCAAGAATCTTCATGCTTGAGTCAAGCACGTTTTTTTCAGTGACACTGATACTTACTAATCTCGTATATGTTTCTTAATTTTCAGATATCTCGCCGATGAGGGTTCAAAGTAGCTCAGTTGGTCACTCGGTATCAGTGGCCTCAATTTTGGGCTTCTGCGTTTTAGCTTTTGCCTTTGGATTGATTGTTTCTGGGTTCCTGTGCTATTACTGGCTGAGGAGGCAAAGGCCAATCATCCCGGGAAGCCCGCATTATATTTCATCAAAACAAAATCCTTACGTGACAGTTCCTCTAAAAGAAGTGCATCATCCGAAGAGAACTCCATCGTTTTCGAAACACACGCTGTCGAGCAACGGCACGCCGAAAGTGTTCAACTCTCGTCCGGTGGAGTATGAAACTGCGACGATAAAAAGGAATAGTCACAGTCTACTGAATGGTCACAGGCAGCAGCAACTAGATTTAGAGCAGGAGAAATTTTTCTAGCATAGGGTCAACCACTCCTCCTCATGAACTATTCGTGCTCTAGGTTCTAATACTATGATAGCTTGACGGAAAAAGGAGAGGAGCAGTGTTACAAATTTCCATTATTTTACTGCATCCTACAAATATGAAGTCTCTACTTCTCCCGTGCTGAGAAAAACGCTGGCTTCCAATGGGGCCAAATTGAAATATATTCCATTTTTCTTTGAAAATATTTATTTTGTGATAAGATTTATGAATATTTCTCCTTGAACTTCGCAGTATTTTTTTTAAAAAATAACGTACGAAATCCTGTGAAAAATGGAGGAGAAATATTCACAAATTTGATTCGCCGAAGAAAATTTGGCAACGCCTGACGTCTCATACGGCGTTCTTACCTAGCACGGCAGACTCCCGATCTATACGAACTCATCACGATCTACTCTCTTGATCCGCATGCCATACTTCTTTAATTTGTGATGTGTGCAACGTAACCATTTGAGTATGTTACATTGCCGCAGCGGAAATTGAAGGGGTGATTTGGAAGCGCATCAAATGATCCAAGTAAACAGTTCAGAAGAAGTTTTCTAGCTGTCTCTTCTCCTTTTTTCGGCACAGCGTATCTTTGTGACTGACTAGGTATACCTGATTGATCGACTGAAATTTTAGATGTAATCAAATTTTAAATTATGCGACAGGGAAACTAGGAGCTTAAAGCGCTTTTTCTGTCCATTTGTTTATTTTATTTTTTGTTATCTAGTATGTTTATTTTACTGGAATGAAATGTGGTCACTGTGTGAAGTATTGACACTGGCGCCTGCTTAATTTCCGCAAGTCAGGATTTGAAGTAAGGAGCATCAGTGGCGATTCTTGAAAATTGACAACACTATTTTTCCTCCATCTGAACGTATCCAAAACAATCGATCCTTCGTAAGGCACATTGCCTTGCCTAAATTCGATATTTTTAATGTCTTTAAATGGGGAAAAACAGCGTTGCCAACTTGCAAAATCGCCATCGAGGAGCATGAAATGCTGTAGTTAATAAATATGAAAATCGTGCATGAAAAAGTTAAACTTATGGGAAATGCATGTATATGAAATTAAAATACTTTTCGTGAAAATTTTCTTCGGTCAACAACCCGCCTAACAGAGCGTGTAAAAAAAAGCCGAATGGGAGAATTATTTCACATACATAATAGGAAACTTACCTAATGAACTAATAATCATTGTGTACCTAAAAAATGTCATTCTCCAGATTGCGAAATCCCAGAAATATGATGATGTGATTTAAACCGTGCCAAAAAATAAAGCTTTATACGTATTACTAAGGTATGTAGGGAACAATAATTGTTAACTCGTTTAGTTTCTCAATCTCTCTAAATAATTATTCGCGAAACGCTTCTACTTATTTTAATTTACAAACTCTTGATTTTCCCTCACTTTGGCATTAGTCAAAAGTCCTCATCTCTATATCTTCACTTTTTGTATGAAATAATCATTCTTCATTGTGTGGTGATCAAAGAAAAATGTTAGCTGGCTCACCCGTCGATATTCCATTGCGCGGCCAAAGCCTAATTTTTTTAATAGCATAATTTTCTGATGGAGTATTACTTAAGATGTACGTTGAAAATTGACTAGTCAATATTTTTGGAGAATTTATTCTGAAACAGAGACAATTTCTTTAGCTTCCTAAAATACTTGTCGATTTTTCTCGGATAAAATTTTAGGAGGAAACGCACCAAACGTTTTGATTTGAGTCGTTGTTTGTTAAATCAATTCATAAAAAGCAAAATGAGCAAGTATTGATTTTGTTCTTGTTTCAGAAACTTGTCTTGTATTTGTACATATTTATTGTTGAATTTGACATGCTTTTTCCGGAATTTCTGGGACAGTCTCTGTCTCCAACTTTCCGCCTCTTTGCTTTTTAGTATCAAATCAAAAATCGTCTGTCCGCCTCCCTGACTTTCATGATTGTAAGTACCTGTAGCAGCTTTAAAATGTATCAAGAGTCCACTGCACGTATTGACATGCCTTTTTGAAGTAGGTATTTGGATTTTATCCAGCCTTTCGTTAATTTTGGGAGTTTTTGATGAATGAACCAGGTTAATCACAGCTGTCAAATTTTCAAATCTGTCAAATTTTCAAATCTGTCAAATTTTCAGAGTGAATTTCAGAAAAAAAAATTATTTTTGCTTTGCTCTTTAAGAGGAAGACAAAGTATGGAGATACGTTAATTATTTTTATTTCCTACGTGCGTGAGCTTTTGGATCCTGATAGTAAAGCTTCCTTGCCTAAGAATTAAATCATTCTCAGAGTTTTTCGTGCCATGTAAATTTTAGAAAATGGTCAATTTCAATGCGTATCAGTACCTGTGTAGTAATTGTCCCGACCAATATTCTCAAATAATAATATTTCGCGTTTACAGCCTCCCTGTTTTATTTTGCGTATCTTTTTACAAAACTATCATTTTTGCCTTTCGAATTTATATCATATCATAGGATGATTCAACTTTTGTACATCATAAGTCTATTGATGAATTTTTTTATCACTTGCGAATATGTTTCCTAAAATTCCAGTAACTTATTTAAATGCACCAATGAAATAATATTATGGAATTAATATTAGTTTCCCTACAAAAAAGTCAAAATCTGCGCTCTCTATTGAAATGTACGTATCGAGGTTATTTCTCTTGTTCTTTTTGTGCCAGAGGTGCATTGCAATGTATGTTATGCTTATGAAACTAATCTTCTATGGTTATAACACTTGCAAATAAGTATCATAATTTGCAAAGAAAAAAATCAAACTTTTAACCGTGTTTAGGAAGGTTTTTTGTATAAGTGTCGAAGTAACAAATATACAAAAGCATTGTATTCGCTCACCAATGTGTTTTTAAGATGTAAAGCTAACTTAATCAAATACATGTTGTTTACTCCTATTAACATAGTATGCCATTTACACTGCCAATCAAATAATTCCATGATCGGTCTCAACATGTAACTTCAATTCCACAGTGTGTAAATTGATTTTTGTTTTTTATAATGTTTATCGCTGGTTTGTTTCATTGACAATGAAATTGTTATCGCTCATATTGAGTGCATTTGTACAGGGAATGTAATATACTTTTTGAAGAATCTTTTACACTCATTTCGATTTGTACAAATATATTATTTTTTATGAACATTATATTTGCTGCATCATTTTCTTCTACTTCCTAACCAGAACCTCAGCGAAGGGGACCTATCTCGGCATGTGCATCATGTCCGCATATTAAAAAAAAAAAAAATTCTAGGCTGTAAAAAAGCGCTCAGCTGTAGCCCTTGTATCCAGGAAAAAAATTATGGCGTCTGATACAGTATGGACTAATACAGAACAAGGTGAATCTTGATAATATCTCGGCCAACCTCACACATTGATAAAGACAAGACGCGGGATCCACGCTAGCGCCTGGATGCAGCAGATGCAGCTATTCCCGCCTGATGGATATCCTTGTTGCATAAGCGAAAAAATGAAGGCGCCTTAGTTTTCCTTGCACGTTTGACGTAGATTAGCGCCCTAAGAGACCCTATCATAAGAGGTAGCTACAATGGATATTTCGAAGGCAATTAGTCAAATCAGGCAAATTTTATCAAATGCCTAGACCGGTAGTCAAATTTTGACAGTTTACAGGATTCTGGAAATTTATGGCGAGGAGTTAACGGGGTTTTAATATTTTGGGAAGAATAACTCTTCAAATCCGCGAACTTTCCTTGTTATTCTTTTTAACATGCCTTTAGTACATTTAAATTTTAAAATTTTAAAAATTCTATGTTTTATGACGTTCTGAAAATTTCATGATAAATGTGCATTCAGGATCTTAAAATCGTTTGAAATACTATTGTATGCTACATATTTTTCTGAGAATTCTTTCTCACAGGAGCAACAAATTATGTTATATAAAAGTATGGTAAAAAATCAAAATTTCAATCTTAAGTAAGAATATTGGACTATTTGCCCAGGCATTTGATAAAATGCCTGATTTTACTATTTGCCTTCGACAGACACCAAGTGCAACAGCTGCCGCTCTCTGAGTCCCTTTTATCACAAAAATTGATTTTATTTATAATTATTAATTATAGATATTAATTTTGAAATTTTATTTCAGCTAATCAAGTAAACTATCCGAAGAAGAAGAAGAAAAGAAAAAAACCTCCCCGAATTTCCACAAAATTAGGATTTGTCAGTTACATGGAATTATTTTTATATTTTTTTATGCAAATGTCCTTTTTTATTTATTTATTGCAATTTATGCTAAGAAACTTTAAACGAATGTTTCCGTACACATTAAGGCTTGAATACTAAAAATTGACTATAAAAGAGGGAAATATGTTAAAATAATGTGGTCGATTCTTAAAAAGTCTTAAGCGTCAATTTGTTTTTTTTCTTCTTCTTCTTCTGTTCAAATCGTGGTGAAATTTCTGAAATATCCGCAATCCGCTTTTAAATTACAATCTTCTCACACATTAATTCCCCCCTTCCAACTCCAAGATTCATAACGTGTTGATTAAATTAGTTATCACTGTCTTTCTCAAACTCTCATCTCTGGTGCTTTAGTCTTTTTGAGAATGACAGATTCTATTATTTTTGAGGAGTATACAGAAATTTGTCAACTTTTTCTTTTGATGGGCTTAAAATTGGACTTATTTATGCTAAAAGGAACTATGTGCATAGAGTTTGCGTGAGACATAGTTACTTCTGGCTGAAATATGTCCAATTAGTTGACACCAGACTTCCCATTCGTAGACGACTGCGCTGCCATCAGCCAATAGCGACTGAGGATTGACCAAAAGAGAGACAGTGCTGCTGTGCAAAAATACGTAAAACGGTCTGCAGCGCATTACAGCCTAACTTAGGCAAGTAAACTCATCCGGCGTGAATTCTGGGTTGATAATGTTTTCAATGCCTCACGTGTTCATAGGAGCCTTCCACAAGGACACATTTGTTCAGCTCCATAAATAACATAACTTCAGTTTTCGTGGGAAAACATGCGAGTTTTGTCCCGACATACTTTGGTGAGATAGGAATGACTCACAGTAAAAGTGTCTTTCTTTCAGGCCAGTTGTTTCCTCAAGTCTTCCATTTGTTTTAGCCAATCAGCACGGTAAACTTTGCACAGCGGAATTTATAATCGGAATTTTCCGAAATCTCGCGCCAATACACTGGAAAAAAACACACTAGATCAAGAAATCCCTCTCCACCTGCCCGCCGGGAAAGCCGCGGCGTGCTGCCAGCGCGAAACGCGCACTAACGCCTACAAATCTAAGGGGATACTTCACGCATTGCGCAATGCTTGAAGTATCCCCTTAGGTTTGTAGACGTCATTGCGCGTTTCGAGCTGGTAGCACGCCGCGCCGCGCCGCGCCGGACGCAGCGTGCCATAAACTTGCCCACGATGTAAAGGTCAGGGTGTTAAAATGTAGAAAATTTGACATCAAATTCGAAATTAGCTACTCAAGAAACATCACTGGAAAAAAAAAACATTGGATCTAGAGTCCAGACTCTTAAACACATCGACAAGAAAAAGTACTCTTGATTCAATCAGAATCTAGCTTAAATCAAGAACCAAGCCTCTTAATTTAAGCAGATTTGAATCGTTTTGATTCAAGCAAAAATCCCAAGAGTATTCAGAGTATTCAAGAGTATTTTTTCTTGTCGATGTTTTCAAGAGCCTGGTCTCTAGATCCAATGTTTTTTTTTTTTTTTTTTTTTTTTTTTTTCCCCAGTGTAAGGCCAAACTAACACGCTAAGTCATTTTTAAATTATGATTGTAGTTGATGCTAGGAACGTTTCTATGACTCACATTTCAGATAACTGTGATTTTCTAGTCTGACGTCAGACCTGATACCCCCTGCCCACAAAGCCCTAAAGAAATTACTTTTAAAAGCGCCAGTGGTAATTCTTCTCTTAAATGTTGCATACGGTGAAAGAGGAGTCTATCCGTTTAAAAGTGGAAAACCGGACTGCATTTTGCAATTTAGAACTATAAATTCTGGCTCTTCTTGAAAAACACGTAATGTGCATACGGAAGTAATGACACATACGTTGTTTTTGAACAGGGCTAGAATTTATAGTTCCAAATTGCAAAATGTGGCCCCATTCATCAGCTCGTTCGATATTATTGTACATAGACTGCTTGAAGCAGAAACTAGACTGCGGACAAGTTTTTATTTTTTAGGTGAGCCGTATATGGATACCTAGAAGTGAGAAGACGAGAAGAGAACAATATTAAAACAAAAACAACAATTTTTTTATGAAATTTTAAATGGAAAACACATTTTTGGGGAGGAAAACTACTCAGCAGAGCCCTCTAGAAGGGAGGGGGGAGGAAAGCATGATGAGCCGAGTTCAAAATATGTTTTTTGATATTTTTAATGAGGAAAATTGGAAAAAAAAACAGGTGTAGAAGTGAGAAAACTTACCGTTGTCTGACGCCATAGAACAGCATCTCCTATTTAAACACGTGCATTTCAGCACATTAGATCAATCTGTCAAAAATTCTCCGAAAACTGTGCTGCACGTTGCGATCAGGAGCCACGTTTTCAGGTTCATTGGAGAAACAACGCGTGTGTCATTGGTTTCCCGATACAAATCTGTGCTTTTATCGATGAACCAGATAATTAGGGGCTACTCATTGCAAAACCAAGTACAATTGTTTCATTTCGGAACTGAGGGTATTTTTGTGCTCAACCCACTCAGATGTTTCCGTTTCTGTAAATACAGCCAATAATTTTTCTGACATACCTGCAAATTTTCTGGAAGATGGTGAAACTTTTCAGCTTGTCTATTTTAACTTCAAATTTTGAAATAAAATATTTTTTATTTAATTGGATAACTCCGTCAACTTCCGCGCCTTAATTTTTAGGAAGTCATACCTGCTATCAAGTTTGGCATTGTTTTTTTTTTTTTAGGAAAAATGGAAAGATGACAGATTCAAGAGGGATTCATCGACTGCGAAATATACCTGAGCCTGAGAGTGCAGATCGTAGGAGTTGCAGGAGAAACTCGGTAAAAATGGAACGAGGGTAGGATAATGAAGAAATTCATTTAGTTACGAGAATATTCAAAGTGCAGAGTGTCAATTCACAAGTAAAAAAAGAAGAAAAAAAACACCACAAGCTTAAAAAATTAAAGGGTGGGGGGTACAAGGCCCTCCTAAATGAAAAGTCAATTTTACAAAACTTGGCACAGTATAAATTTATGTATCTAAGTTCATTCTCTAAAAATTACGGAAATCAATCTATTCTACAGATGGTACATATTTTTGGTAGAGCCTAGGTAAACCTTTACATAATTTTGTCGGCTCTTTATTTTCTCAGCTGTAATCACAGGACTTAAAGCATTCATTTTTCCTCTAATTTTTTCCACTATTTCTTCACCATATACGCTGCCAAATCCGTTAATTCTAGTAATCCATATATTTTTTTCAGCAATTATTGTTCGTATTCTTTTATTTTAATTTCACCGTTGTTACGTATTGATGGTTTTTATGATGTGAATTATTTTGTATGAGAATCCATGAAGGTGTGTACCTTTTAATTTATATACACTGTGTAAAGAATACCTACTCATAGATCGACGCTACATAAAGTTCAAAATTCACCATAACTAAAAGAAATATCTCCAAACGGTCGTGCATTATTGTCATCAACCACGGATAGACCACAAAGATGCGTCGTTAAACTTAACAACTGCCCAGCGGCTGACGATTGACAAGCAAAGCGTTTTTTTAGGAAACCGAGAGTAAAGTCACTTTATGGTCTTGTGTCGTGTAATCAATATTTTTGTTGCTGTTTTTTCCGGTTTTTTGGGTGCATCAAAAATAGCAAAAAGAGGCTAAAACATATTTGTTAAACAAGAGCATTGTTAAATGCTGGTGGATTTTCCTGATTACAAATGACCATTGGACTGCATTCTGCGATTAGGAACCATTACTCCTAACTGGACTACATTTTGCAATTTGGAACTATAAATTCAAGCCCGGTTTAAAAACAACGTATGTGCCATTAGTTTCCCTATGCACATAAGTGTTTTTCTAAAAGAGTCAGAATTTATAGTTCCAAATTGCAAAATGCAGTTCAACTCATCCATTAACATACATATCTGTATGGAGTAAGTAATGGTATTTATTTATCTATTTTTTTTTCGAATATAAGCTAAGAATTGTAGTTCGCAATGCCTAAATGTTGTGGAATTGATTGCGGACCTTAGACCATGGCTCAGGGCTTACCACACGAATTTCTATCGTTCATTTCTTTTTTGCTGATATGACAACGTAACATTTCGCACAGGTTCAAAAACGTAGGAAAACTAGGAAGTAATCACGGAACCAGCCGGCAGTTCAGTTTACATTTCTAGCAAACCTATTAATACTACAGACGTCAAATGCAGATGCTCATTTCAATTTGCTACCTCTAACATCGTGCACGGATTTTTTACGGGTACGTAATTAAAAATTGTGTAGTTTGTACCTAGTGCTTTTTTTTCGAACAATTCTTTTAATATTCGCGTGTTTTAGTTTTACCGTAAAAAATTACAAATTATCTTGGAAAACTATTGCCTTCTGCAAGACCGTACTGTTGAGGATAATTTTTGAAAATTTCTGATAGTGTGTAATTTAAACTACTTTTACAAACTCAGAAACATATACAACTTTTAAAACCAGCTCACGGAAAAAAATTTGAAGGTTCGTTTTCACTTGCTTAAGATGACAATACGAGGTAACAGCCTCACCTGCAGATTAAAAAAATATATATTAAGACTTTTATTCATCAAAGCATATGTTGGGCTACAAATACAAACAGATAACAATGAAATATAGCTAAATTAATTCTTCTGCAGTCAAGGTTGAAAATCAAAATTATTGTCTTCCAAAACACGCAATAAAAATACTTAGGGAGTTATGTAAGAAATTAAAAAGGAGGCTCATTGACAAAACATAAATGAGACAGAAATTCTTATCAGGGAGAAAGAGAAAAAAAATATGAAAAATAAAAATCTCGATGATTTAAATATAAGGCCTTTCCTCAATAATTCGGACTCCAGTATCGTAAGCATGGCGTCTCTGGTACTGTGATATTTTGAGTTTACTTTTCTTGTTTATGTTGGCAGGGTATTTAAGCCGTCAAAAATCGGTCAGAATGGGGGTTTTGTTCATTCTCTTGTCCCTTGGCCTTCTATTGTCCTTATCAGGATCGGACTTTCAAGTGGTCGCACATGAAGGTATGATGAACGATTTCTCATGATCAGATCAACACGCATATAGCCGGAGTTAGTGACGAAAGAACAGAAACAAGAATTATGTGTGAACGATCCTGAAATGCACGAAACAAATAAAGCATAATCTTAAAACTGCACGGGGTCATTAAAATTTAACTTTAGGAAGAGGAGGAGAGTAAGAGGAAAAAGACGCGGAAAGGAGGTGAAAAAGACGCAGAAGATGAAGAAGAAGAAAAAGATGAGGAGGAGAAAATACCACAAAAGAATTTACTTTTCCACATCTTATTTGTACTCTTCTTCTACTTCTTCTTATTTGTCTTATTCTTCTATTCCATATTATTTTTTTCCATATTCTTCTTCTCCATCTCCTTCTTCTTCTCCTTCTTCTTCGTATTCACCTTCTTCGTATTTTTGTTCTTCCATCATTCTTTCATTTTGTGTTCCTCATAGATAGGACGAGCTCTTACATGAATGACAATGATTACGGTCCTAAATTTCTTCCCAACATTTCTTAACATTTTCCTTCTGTCAGACGCACGGATTCAGCTCATCCAAAAGCATTTTAAAATTTCCAGCTGTTTTTCTTATTCTTTTTCTTCGTATTCTCCCTCTTTTTATTCTCATTCTTTGTATTTTTCTTCTTCTTTCTCTTCTTCTCTTATGGTTCCTCTCAACCTTCTCCTCCTTCTTCACTTCCTCTTCTTTTTTAGCTCTTTTCTTCCTTATTTCCAATATGTATAATGCGTCTTTATCCAGGGCGATCCGAGAGGGTGTTAGATTTAGTTTTTTTCTCGAATGAATTAATATATTTTGAACCTCATAGACGAGACGAGTTCTTACATGAATGACAAACGGTCCTACATTTCTTCACAATATTTCTTCATATTTTTCCTCTGTCACACTGGAAAAAAACACATTGGATCTAGAGTCCAGACTCTTGAAAACATCGACAAGAAAAAGGACTCTTGATTCGATCAGATTTAAGCTTTACTCAAGAATTAAGCCTCTTAATTTGAGCGGATTTCCTTTTGCTTTAAGCTTAAATCTGGTTGAATCAAAAATATTTTTTATTGTCAATGTTTTCAAGAGTCTGGGTCCAATGTGTTGCACCAAAAACATTACCGTGCACTGGGGAAAAAAAAAACACATTGGATCTAGAGTCCAGACTCTTGAAAACATTGACAAGAAAAAATACTCTTGATTCAATCGGATTTTTGCTTTAATCAAAAGGAAATCCGTTCAAATTAAGAGGCTTGGCTCTTGATTTAAGCTTAAATCTGATTGAATCAAGCGTATTTTTTCTTGTCGATGTTTTTAAGAGTCTGGACTATAGATCCAATGTTTTTTTTTTTTTTTTTTTTTTTTTTTTTTTCCAGTGCAGAGTGCATAAGCGCGGATTCAGCTCATCTAAAATCACTTTAAAATTTCCAGCTGTCGGCGTTTGCTACGGCCTCCTGGGCAACAACCTCCCGCACCCTGCGGCAGTCGTCGATCTCTACACCCGATGCGGCATCAAGCGGATGCGGATCTACGACGCCAACAAGTCCGTCCTCTTTGCTCTGCGAAACTCCGGGATCGAACTCATCCTCGGCGTGGCCAATTCCGAACTCCGGAACCTGGCCACCGCCGCGAACGCCGAGAAGTGGGTCCAGGACAACGTCAGGAGCTTCCACCCCGCGGTCAGGATCCGCTACATCGCCGTCGGCAACGAAGTCGACCCCCACGGCAACGAAGCCGCCGTCGCCAAGTACACCCTACCAGCTCTGAAGAATATCTACAACGCGGTCTGCGCGGCCGGCCTGAGGGACCACATCAGGGTCTCGGTCGTCATAGACATGCGCCTTCTCGGAATCTCCTACCCGCCGTCTTTCGGCGCGTTTCGGCCGGAAGTCGTGACTTACATCAAACCGATCGTCGACCACCTGGCGGCAGCGAAGACACCCCTCCTCGCGAACGTCTACCCTTATTTCAGCTACATTGAAACTTTGAAGTATATCAAGCTCGAGTATGCTTTGTTCACTGCGCCGGGGACCGTTGTCTACGATGTGAGGTCCGGGTTGTCTTATCAGAACCTCTTTGATGCGCAGATGGACGCTATGTACGCCGCGCTCGAGAGATTGGGCCAGGGTGGGCTTGAAGTGTCTGTCTCGGAGACGGGTTGGCCGTCCAGGGGTAATATTTCGGCCACCGTTCGGAACGCGAATATATTTTTGAAGAATTTGATCGCGCATGTCCAGAAAGGGACGCCGAAAAGACCCAAGGCGATCGAGACGTACATATTCGCCATGTTCGATGAGAACATGAAGCCAGGAGCCAGGACTGAGAGGTTCTTCGGGTTGTTCAGGCCGAAGCCTCTGAGGGTGAAGTATACCGGTTTGACCTTTTAGTTTCACATCGAACGGATTCCAGTTCAACGCTCCCGAGGAAAAATTTTCAACGGAAAAATCGCGAAACCTATGGAGAAGGATCGATAGACAGGGTGTTCGCAACGAAGACCTTGGTAATCGATTCTTTACCACCGTTTCAAATGGAGAAATATCGATAATCGATCATTTACGCCTCACCAGTGGTCAGAAGGCGTGGGGGTACCCTCTCTTTTAGCATAAAACTGGAATGGACCACTAGACAAGGTACGAATTTCAACATTCTGATACATGTTTCTTAACCAAAATTTCACGTAAAACACGATGCGCACAGCAAAAATTACCGCAACTAACTCCTGACAAAGATATTTAATGATTCTTGGTGCGTGAATTCAAACTACCCGCTCATGAAAACTCAATGCTCTGCATGATTCACATCGCGCACTAAACGTTATCATGACAGTCTCTGCGATATAAAAATCTGGCAACCTCAATCTTGACGCTTTGGCTCAGCTATAGCAAATTGCTTTTAGTTTGAACAACACATGGAAGGAAATGAACATTGCTCGATTGAGAGGCTTGCTGAAACCGTTTTAGTGCGCGATTTGACTCACGTAGAGCTTTGAGTTCTTGTGAGCGGGCAGTTCAAATTCCCCATAACCAATGTGAAATAAAAACGTTAATATCTTTGTTAGGAGTTGGTTTCAGTAATTTTCGTTGCGCGAATCGTGTTCTACGTCAAATTCTGGTTAAAAAACATGTTTCAGATTGCTTAAATTCGTACCTTGTCTAGTGGTCCATTCTCATTATAGAGGGAAAGAGCTCGCTCGAGTATGATACGTGTATTCTCCCATTCTGCTGTCCTAAGGAAGAACGCCGTATGAAAATTCGAGAGTTGCCAAATTTCCCCGGATAAAACGTGTATTTTTAACGAACTTTATGCATATTTTTCCTTGGAATTTTCAGATATTTTAGATTAAATTACGAACAAAATAGTTGCAAAATTGGAAGAAAAATATTTACAATTCCCCGCAATAAATGCGTGCTTTATCAAAGAAAATTTGGCAACGCCTGAAGGTTCATACGGCGTTTTTCCTTAGCATGGCAGCATAGAACACTGCGGTTTGGTTCAGCCTTAGTTACTTTCTTCTTGCCTTCCGCTCACTGCATTTCTGATTGATCGTAACTAGTTTTACACCACGATAGTATTGAAATTAAATAGCAATTTGATTACAATACGATCGTAATTTTTTCACTATTAAAGAGAAGTATTTTTACATCATTTAGTCAGTTTTTAAACAATCAACAAAATTATGAAAGAAATGTGCCAGAAAGATATGCAATATGCAATGCATTGAAAAATTGCAACTTACTTCAATTTTATTGCAGAAAGTTTCAATTAACGCGGCCCCTTCGAATAGGAGCTAGGCAACATACACAACACTCACACACAACATTCACTTTTGCCAGGTGTATTTTTATTTACGTCATTTACGGGAAAAGCTTACCTACATCCACAAAAAATTGCTTTTTGATACCAGAAGGTGCCATCAGGTGTCGCGAAAACTTTGCATACTCACTGTAACTAAAGTAACTTTAAGCACCTGTGGTTTCAGGACATTTCGTCGACGATTTTTTGTCTGCGCGCCTGTTTTTTTCAGGAGTTTACGTCTCCGCGTGAAATAAGCAAAGGTGACTTGGTCCAAGCGTTATAGTTTTGTCCGTATGTAAAATTATATTGAAATGAGAAAATTGAGAGAGAAGGAGGTGTTGCTATGGAAAGTATAGCAAATGAAATGTTACTTTCTTCTTTTGATTCATCTTGTCAAATTGCCATTGGTGAATACTGAATATTTTGTTTTATTTCTATCCTCAAAATTTTCGCTAAAAAATATTCCTTATTACACCTTTTTCTCAATGGAAAGATTCCTTCATTTTAAAAGCATTTACATTTTTAAAACGTGGCAAATATTTGTAAAACCTTTTCCAAGCGATGACATCGATATTAATCTCAATGAGCCGTAGCTGTGTTTAAAGAAACTACTTAAAAATGAAGAAAAGAGGGAAAAAACCAAGAAGCACGCAATTTTCAGTTTTAACCCATTTAAACATCGATCTTTTAGAGTCATATACATCCTATTTTGAGCGTTTGGTTGCACGTACACCACGCTGCAGCACAGTAAAAGCACAAAATATAAAAGAAACAATTAAATTGCTTTGGAACTCATTAAATTAGACACAGAACCATCTTAATATTTGCAAAACACACATTATATTTTCTTTCAATATACATACTTTTTTTTCATCACTTTAAATGACAATAATCCTTGTACAGCGTGCACAAATTTCAAAATCAGGATTTGAAAAACTCTAAATCCACGAGTTTAAAATAGTCTAACACAGAGCGGCGTGGCGTGCTGCCGGCGCGAACCGCGCGCTGGCGCCTACAAACCTAACAGGGATACTTCACGCATTGCGCAATGCGGAAAGTATTCCTGTTAGGTTTGTAGGCGCCAATGCGCGTTTCGCGCTGGGCAGTCGCCCACTGCGTCGCAGCGTGTCATGGCGCTTCAAGCAACTATTCCACAACAGAGGCGTTGCACAGTATCATACGAAATTGAAGGCGCTCCAACATATTAAGAACGACAGGCATCCTTTAGGAGTCAGGAGGAGCGTTCCTGGCAAAATAAATCAAGATACTACCGCACAAAATGAGAGCGGTAGTCCAAAAATTCATTAAGTCCTAGCATCCGTATTTAATAAAGTTTAGGATAATTTTTGAATTTCATCAAAAAGAAAGAGTGACTCGATTTAGGCAGAGACATTCTCGAGTATGCCGTCAAGAAAATTTTATTTTGAATCAAGAATAAAAAAGCTGAATGAAAGCGGGTTTCTGCTTGATGTAAGTGACTTTTCTTTTCATATAAGCATATTTTCTTCTTTGAAGAAACAATTTTTTCTTTATTGATTCATAGGAAATCTGCTCGGCGATATATTTGAGCATATCTCTGCTTGAATCAAATCACTTTTTCCTCTAATGAAGTTCAAAAGTCATGCTAAACGTTATTGAATACAGACACTAAGACCTAGTAAGTTTTTCGACTTCCGCTCTCTTTTTGTCGTCGACACTCGAGTTAACTTGTGAGTGAACTTTCTACTTTTGAAAGATACCATCAATCATGATACGTTGGGGTGCCTTCAATCTTGTGTGATACTATGCAACTCCTCCGTGGCCAAATAGCTTGAAGCGCCGCGGTATGCCGGCGCGGCGCGCCTTCGCGAAGTTATCGTAAACAAGAAAAATCAAAGAGCCTTTTGCTGAGGCAAATCAAAAGGTTTATCCTGTTCAGATATAAGAAGATGGGATTTTCTTGAAAGATAATTAAGTCCTGTTGCATTAAAGTGGTGTAGAGAGTTTTAGTGAATATTTCCTCATGGAATTGACGCTTCTCCATTTTTACCAAAAATCTCAATTATTTATTTTGAGGGACTCTATAGGACCAAACAAACAAAAAAAAACAAAAAAAAAAACAAAAAAAAAAACAAGGAAACCCTCATTGTTCCAAAATATTTTACAGTTTCATCCAAAAACGTCGTGAGCAATTGTCGTTTGTATTTACATGTGGACCAAGTAAATTTGGGTCTCAACTTGTAGGTGGACCAAAACTCCCCTGCCGAAAAAACGCGATGACGTATAAACTACTAGAAAAGATAAGTGCGCGGACAAAAAATCGTTGGCAAAATATCCTATAACGTACCTGTAAGTACTTGTGCAATAGCCTTTGTTTCGTAGACTATTCCATTTAATGGAGTAGATTTTCGTCGTGAGACGAACGGTTACTATCAGGCTACGAGATTCTAATGTAATGAGGGAAAAAGTTGCGCAATCCTAGCAACTTCTGATACCGCTTACAATTTGTTTTCAATTTCCAATCTAATTATGGTGCATATTCAATGACCCACTGTAAGTGTTTATCACGCAAAAGCTTGAAAATCCGTCAATATTCTCCATTTACATTTGTATTTTCATACTAGAAACTATGCATCAAAACATGTTCAGTTTGAGAGAAAAAAAGTTATGCTTTTCGATATTCGGCACGTTTGATAACTCCAGTTGCGGTTTTTACAAGTTAAGACTACATTATTTCTTCAATTTCAGTAAATGTATGAAAATCAAACACATCATAATATTTTTATGATGGAGTCACAGACAAATGGAGGATAAGCAGTGTTGCCAGCTTGCCGGAATCTCCAGAGTTCAATTTGGAAATCACTTACTTCAATTCAGTTCTTAAAATGCCTGCTTTCGCGTAATCCCTTTACAAAGAGCGAGCCAGCTTATTGATTGAAATGACTTCTTTTCAACAGAGTGAAGGAATAATACGCAAACTTCAAGGGAGATATGTTGATTTTTCTTCGATTAAAAGTAGATGGATTTAAGCAAACCCGTCTTATCTTTGTTAATATTCTTGAAAAAAGATTTATTTCTATGGCGTGGGACTGGTAGCATACACTGGTAGAAAAAACACATTGGATCTAGAGTCCAGACTCTTAAAAACATCGACAAGAAAAAATACTCTTGATTCAATCAGATTTAAGCTTAAATCAAGAACCAAGCCTCTTAATTTGAGCGGATTTCCTTTTAATTTAAGCTTAATCTGATTGAATCAAGAGTCCTTTTTCTTGTCAATGTTTTCTAGAGTCTGGACTCTAGATCCAATGTGTTTTTTTTTTTTTTTCCAGTGTAAGATGCCTAAAGTCAGATGCCTACAGAGAGAACTTTTACTAAAGAGTCAACAGTCAAATCGCAAATTCCTCACACATGCAACATATCCATTATAATGAAAAGGTTTTGGAAGATGGAAAATCGAGATCCATCGCAATTTCGAGTCTAAACATCCATGTGAGGATCAATGTGACCTGAAATACAGTCTAACTTGACCACATCGATCACGCCTCGCGTTGCGTTTAAATCGTTAGCAGTGAAACCATGTTTCGCGGTCAAGAACCACTATTTCTGGCTC